GTGACAATGAGACTGTGACAGTCTCATTGTCACAGGTCGGCTAGAACTATGAGGTGAGTGAAAAGCACTCATCTCATAGTTCTCCTTTAACATGCATCAACCCATGCTTCCAAGTGGGTGAATGGCACCCCGACACACTATACAATAGTGGGCACCCTAGTTGCAAATCCGGCCTCAGAGTCCCCAACCCAGAGCAAGTAGGAACCTTGAGAGAGTCAGAAAACTTTTAAATAGAATGAAAGAAAACATTAAGGCTGAACAGCACAGAGCATACTTGAGCCGGAGCAAACAAAATTATTACATTAGACTTCAATGGAAATTGCTTTAAAGAAACGGCAAAGGATATATCAGCTAATAAAGAAGTTTTAATCATTATTATTCCACAGCAGGTCTAATATGTACTTGTGAGATTTATATAGGGAAGGGAATGGAGGATTTCTAGGGTCCAGGTTTTAAAGCTACGCCTGATGTTCTATTAATGAACGGAGTTAACCTTCTGGTCTCCATTATTGACTCAAGAGAAAAATGTGAAAAATCACCCGACTTGTACTGGATATCTCAGTGGGGCCTTGCAGCATCAAGGTCCTGGGTTCAATGCCATCCACAGATGGTTTACAACTGCAATACAGAAACATATTGGCACTATTCCTCCACGTATGGTTAACATTAGGGATGCACCAATACCGGTATTTCGGTATCGAGTACCGATAATTTTTTTTCTGGTACTCGCCGATACCGGGTACCTGAAGTCCCTTTCAAGAAGCCAGGAGGCGTGTAATGACTCGCCACCTGGCTCCCTGATTAGCAGGGAAGCCATCCCTATGCTTTTCGTCACTAGGTGACCAGAAAGCATTTAGCTGGCTTCCTGATTGGCTGGGAAGCCGGCTCAATGCTCCCTCGTCATGAAGTGATGAGGGAGCATGAAGCCAGCTTCCCGACCAATGAGAAAGCCAGGCGTTGCGTCATTAGACGGCGCCCCGCTTTCTGATTGGCCGGGAAGCCGGGCAGCATGTAATGACATGCTGCCCGGCTTCCTTATACCGGAAGTATCGGGTTAGGCATCTAAGCATTTGGGCGAGTAATCGCTCAAATACTCGGCATCGGAACCAATACTAGTATCGGTATCGGTGCATTCCTAGTTAACATCATAGGTCCATGAATCACACCAAGAACCAAGAAAACACATCTATGTACAGCAGTAACAGGCAAAATAACTATTGGGCTGCAATTCAGCGTACGATTACCATTAGATTAAGAAAAGGAAGTAGCCAAACTCCAGGATAAAAGCCGCTGGCAAAGTTTAATGAATTAAGACAGACGACCTGGACTGCGGGCAAGTGTGTCTGCAGCCAAGCGTGGGATCTCTTATATGACTGCCATCTTTTGACTGCTGCTCAATGTCCACACTGATCCAAAGCATAAGGTTACAAGATTTTAAAAATTAAATCCGGGGACACGCTACTGACCACGGACACATTTAAACCACACACCCCATTTGTAGCCACACCCACAAATTTACACTCCCATACAAATGGTCACAAACTGTTGGAACAAGAGACAAAAACATTCAGGGTAAAAAGACAAAATAAACAGAGTTCAAATTAGAAGCACCAAGATACACATGAACAGCTAGGTGGGACTCCTATCAAGAAGAAAAATGTGGTGCACACAGAGCGCCGGTGTTCTATCAAAGTTTGTGACTACGTTGGAATGTGTGACCGGTCACATGGTCACACATTTTAACGTAATACCGCCACATTTTACAGCGGTGGAATGCGTGATCGCCCATTAGGTCAAGCATTCCAACGCTTTGTCAGCTCTTCCAGGGCAGATCTGCTTCGCAGATCGCATTTGCAGGAGAACCGATCTGCTTTACCCCATCTGCCTGAAACAGCTGATCAGTTCTCAAATGTCACTTCTATCCGACTTCGTGAGTGCGGTGGAATGTAAGATCGTACTCAGAGTCGGATAGAAGTGACATTTGAGGACCAATCAGCTGCTCCAGACAGGTTAGCTAATGCAGATCGATTCTCCTGCACAAGCGCAGTGAGCTGATCTGCCCTGGAACAGCCGACAAAGCGTTGGAATGCTTAACCCCAATGGGCGGTCACACACCATCACAAAACTGGGCGGGGTTACATTAAAATGTGTGATGTCACCGGTCACACATTCCAACGTAGTCACAAACTTTGATAAAAACACCAGCAACTTAAGCCCTGGAGGTGCGGCCAATAAAGTGGGTGTTTGCCAAGCACCACCATTTTTGGATGCCATCTGCCCTGTGCAGTGCAACTGTCCAGTCAGTGGCTGCGCAGTGCAATCTTGCGAGCAAACTGTCAGGCAGCGGGGGACAAAAATTGGGAATGCTTGTATCCTGGGAACAGACCTCTCCAAACGGGGACTAATGGTAACCATACCCATCAGCACCAATAGTGTTGGTTGATTTCACTGACACAAAGGTGAAATAACTGCTACTATGAGTCACTACATTTAACAGAAACATTTAAAAAAACATATTTTTAGGGTGATTTCATATTGGTAAATTTTTTCATTTGGACTAGAGGTGTAATAAAAATGTACACCATGGCCTTCAGTTAGAACAGACTAACTGTAAAACTGCAACCCACTTCTGCTGGCTCCATGCTCGACGTGCCCTTGTCTAAACCATGACAAACTATGGTAATTCCTGTATCAAGTTTAGGGACCGTAGGTTTAGGTTACAATGCGGAAAGGATGAAAATATGTGTGCGAGTGTGAAAACGTCTGTGAAAAAGGATTTTTCAATTAGGCATGAGGATGAGATGATGGATGCAGAAAACAAGTGCAGTGAAACAGACACTGAGGGGACAGACAACAGGGCAAAGATCACACCCCTAAACATCTGCAATTAGTACTCATGTTACTACTTCATTTGGGGGGGGTAAAAATGTTCCATGCAGGCGCATTCATCAAGTACAAATGAAATTGCATTTATTGTAATGTCTAGCCCAGGGGTGCCCACAATTTTTCGTCTGGAGATCTACTTTTCAAATGACGAGCTCAATGAGATCTACCAACGAAAAAAACACCTGCATTCAGGGGCGGTGCATCGAAGTCAATGGCACCACAGCCAGGCCCCTCGCCCACAGTGCGATCGCCTGCACCCAGAACCCAGGCACATTAGTGCCTGTGTTTTGGTCCTGTGCGATCCGCAAAAATGCTGCCGATCACACTGGACCAGAATGCACGCACTAAGGTGCGGGTGATCGAACTGTGGGCGGGGGACATGGCTGCCAATCAACCTCACGCCCCCTCCCGCCCCTGAACGCAGGGAGTCGGCTGGCTTGCATTCCAGTGCGTTCTAGAGATGCCGGCGTCCTATCCTCCCGCGGTGCTCGTGTGGCCGCCGTTGCACACGGGGAGAGGTGTCCCGCCCCTTTCCGTCTGCGGCACCTGACACATTCAGCCGACTGCCGCACAAGCACAGCGGGAGCATAGCCGTAGCCAGCTCCTTTTGCGCATTTGGCAAGAAAAAAAAAAAAGAAAAAAAGGTGCCCCCCCCCAACACGCGTGTGAAGTCACTCAGCGCTCTGCCTCCAGGATTTTTTACTATTTTTTATTATTTCTTATTATTTACAGCAGCACATGCTGCTGTAACAGCAGCATGTGCGGTGAGGAGAGAGAGCCGCCGGCTGTCAGATCCAGGCCGAGCGGCTCTCACTCTCTCCTCACCGCTCAGCGTGCTGCTGTGACAGCGCCTCCGTCTTCCGCCCACAGCAGCTTTACTTTCACTTCTCCACGGATCCAGATTAGACAGGACATCGCAATCTACCAGTGATCGCTACGCGATCGACTGGTAGATCGCGATCGACCTAATGGGCAGCCCTGGTCTAGCCTCTAGGCACATTTATCAATAGCTGCTGGCACCACCAATTTCTACAGCAAAAACAATTACAAATATTATGACCGGAAGGGTCTCAACAGATTAAAAATAATTATCATGATTAAATAATTTTTCTTTAAAGGGACTATGTTATGAAGGAAGAACGGATGCTGTCCTTGCTGGCCTCCTGAATAAAACGTTAGTGGGCTGGTTGTATCTGACACTTTGGAGTCACAGACTGGAACAAGCGTGCTTTAAATAAATGTCAGAAGAGTGGTAAGAATATATTTGCTCAAAATCAATGAGACGAAGACCCTGTTCACACTTGTGGCACGTATGATCGCGCAACAAACTTGGCAAAGAAGCTCACACAGCAGCAAAAGCTGCGAGCTTCACACTGTGTTTGCGTGTTGAAGATGCCCGTTTTGGTGCAATTATCAAGTACTGGTGCAGCACGCGTGTGTCACGCATTTTCCCCTGCTTTGTGTGAACGCGCACCAAAGCACACACTTTGGCATGCATTCACACGCGTCAAGTGTAAATGGCGCCTCTGGGAGCATGCTAAAAGGAGAGTTCAGCAATGGCAGCATTTGGGGTAGTATCCCTTCAAATACAAAGTCATTATTTGCGGGGCACAGTGATGGCTCTACAGTTAGGCATTCCAGCTAGGAAATGTCGAAAGTAAAAGCTTCCCCAAAACACCGCTGATGCCACATGGTAAGGCGGTAAGGCTGTAAAGCTCTGAAGACCCTTCCAGTGGTGTCAGAAAGCTGCTTTAAACTTTATTAAAAAAAATTATTTACTCAGTTACAGGGGACATGTAGACACCAATCAATATCTTCTCCCACATCAAGTCATTTGTTTCATTTACAGCTAGGAGAAAATAATAAAATAACAGGAACCGTATCCCTGTGGCTGTGTGGACTGAACAGATGTGCAGAGTAACTGTTTATATTCCTAGGTAATATCTAAAGCAATCCAGCGAGCACTAGGGTTTGGGGGGGGGGGTTTGCAAAAAAAAAGTATGCTCACATACTTGTATGCCAGTTCATTCTGGTAGAAAAGAGGAGAGTTTGTGTCAAAGAAACAGTATTATACAGATCAGATCGAATTATGAAAGAACAGTGAAGGGACTTACCTGAACACCATCAAATGTGTCATCAACCTTGGAACTATACTGTACACGGAACATGGTGGAGAGGTTCCCCGCGCTGTAGTACAGCAAGATCTGCAAACCTTTGTATCCAAAAGCCACTTCACTAGTAACACAAACGGAACAAATGATCAGCAAATGTATACAATTGAAGTAAAACGATAGACTACTGAAGCACTTGAGTGCCAGGTCACACCTTTAAATGAAGTTGGGGAAGCGGCTATTTGTCCCAGCGCTGTTTTACCACCTTGACTCAGCGGCTGCTGTAGTTCCTGCAGGCTTTTAACATTTGAACCTCCAGCTGTCAGTGACAACCTGGATCCAGCACTAAATCCAGGGGCTGAACCAAGGATCCTGCTACAGAGTGCTTTATAAGAGCTCGACAGTTGCATGCTGAGATTTCTTATCTCAGCTCTAACAGGTTGTTTTAGGATGTCTACTAACTGAAAGGCTGAGCATTTCTCCAGATTGCTTACTGTGATGAGTGAGTCTTTCCTATCATTGTTTAGAGCAGGGATAGGCAGCCTTGGCACTCCAACTGTTGTGTAACTACAAGTCCCACGAGGCATTGCATGAGTGACAGTCACAGGCATGACTCCCAGAGGCAAAGGGTGGGGTTTGTAGTTTCAGCATAACTGGTGTTCCAAGGTTGCCTACCCTTGTTTAGAGGTTGCTACTGAAGGGTTAAAATTATCCCTACACCACAAGCTTCTAAACAATATGTATGGAAGAGGACTGGCTCAGCACAGTGACAGCAAACACAGGATTTCTTTCACAATTCTTCTGTGTGCTGCATGCCTGATGGGGTTTTAAAGGATCAAATAACAGGTTCTCTTTAAGGTTCAACTCTGCCCCAAACAGATTTGTCAGTTTTGTGTTATTGTTAGCAAGCAGAATCAAATGCTAGCTCTATATATCTCCGAGACTATTGTGGTGAGATAGATGAATAAGAATTCGCCCCCAATTTACACCATAGCATTCTGGTGACATGCATCCACATGCGTTCATTTCCCATGCTTTGCGCACATCCCCTTTTATTTCAATGGGTTCTTGGGCATGTGCCAAACATGGGAAAGTAGCGCATGTAGCAAATTTTGAGACGTGTTCTGCATTTGCTCAGCCGCGTTTGAGGTGCCATTAACTAGTAATGAACTACAAAAAAAACAGAAAGTTGTAAGGGTTTCTGGAGGGGTGTAAATGACCGTCCAAGAGAGAGAGATATATATATAAAAATTTTTTTTCAATTTATTACTATTACATACTTAATTGGTTACATACATGATTCAATTGAACCTATTAAAAAATCAGATCCCTGCAGAGGATGCATCAATACATTGATTGTTCAACAACTCTAAAGATCATTTGATCCAAATTTCCGATATAATTTCATAATTTGTTCAAAGCATAGCTTAACTTAATAGGCCCCGACGCGTTTCGCCATAGGCTTCATCAGGGGACCATTCGAGATGAATCTATTAATAAGAGAATTTTTCTTCATTTATAGGTACATCGTATCTGACATTCATTGATGCATACATTAAATTTATTTGTACTATATACTCATATTCCTAAATGAGACCCCAGATGGGTCAGTTACATACTAATTCTACATGTCTCAGGATATAGATCCTATCCGTGCTCGTTGAAAATAAGTGATGTATAAGATTGCCTCGGCCACTGTGTTTCCTCGATCCCTAGATTCTAATGTTAGTCCTATTGCTAGTTTAACTCTATCCCCATAATCATCCAGTCAGTTAGGTGCATGAGTATATCGCATAGTTCTTACCTCTCAGAGCAATGTTTGTAGTTGGTGTGATTGCTGCTTTCTCTCTAGGGTACAGGAATTAGCCTGTTGCGTCCCAAGGCATTCCCCGCTAGACTAACCCAGCTACAGCTCTCCCCCTAAATACCCCTCGCCATCAAATCAGGGAGTCGGATAAATCAGTTCCGGTTCCCGAGTGACAGCGCGGACTCCTCATGACGCACGCGCAGTGTCCAGGCGCTTGAGTCCGACGTCATCTCTTTCCAGTCAGGGCAGGGTAGTCCTACGTTGCAAACCCCGGGTAATTTCCGGGTATGTGCACGCACTCCCATGTTCTTGATGGATGACCTGTGTCCTTCGCTAGCGGTCCCCGCCTCTCCAGCCCACCCTCCTCCCATCCCCTGTCAGTTGCTTGGTCTCAGTCAGAACTTCCATGCGGGTGTATGTGCAAGCGAAGGCAGCGGATATACTAGTTGCGTCGTTTTTTGGGGAGTCTCGAGGTCCCAGAATGTGACCGCCTCTCCCCCAACTCACTCAACCGGGCATGTTGGTCAGATATACATTTTTAACCATAGGGTAATTGAGCCATGCTCCAGATATATATAGTACTGTACATATATTTTTTATACAAATGTATATATCAAGAACATCATTTTGTTATATGACATACAATTTATTTCACCATAGAAAAATTGGGCTATGCACCAAATCTATATGACATTATACCTAACAAAATCATTAGTTGTTATATACCATGCAGTTTATTCTATACAGATATTCTACAATCTTAGTGGCTAAACCCCCTTCTAGTCTGGACGATCGTCCAGACCCATGTTATAGATCAGGTTCCCTAATGAACTGATAGTATTGATATTAATGTTATTTCAGAATTATTTTAATTAGGGGAGGGGCTGTCACATCTATTATTCTAGATTTTCATTTTTAATTGTGGAATAAGTTTTAGTTAGTAATCATCGTGAGTATTTCCCTATCTTCTCTTGGTCTGATTTGTATCTTTTTATCTTTAGATTAAATTCATTCATATTGTTATACTGTCCATTCACTTGTTTTGTTTGGAGTTATTTGTTGGTTTTGTTCATAGGAACGATTTGTAACTTAGTGTTTCATTTAATCGCATAGTTCTTACCTCTCAGAGCAATGTTTGTAGTTGGTGTGATTGCTGCTTTCTCTCTAGGGTACAGGAATTAGCCTGTTGCGTCCCAAGGCATTCCCCGCTAGACTAACCCAGCTACAGCTCTCCCCCTAAATACCCCTCGCCATCAAATCAGGGAGTCGGATAAATCAGTTCCGGTTCCCGAGTGACAGCGCGGACTCCTCATGACGCACGCGCAGTGTCCAGGCGCTTGAGTCCGACGTCATCTCTTTCCAGTCAGGGCAGGGTAGTCCTACGTTGCAAACCCCGGGTAATTTCCGGGTATGTGCACGCACTCCCATGTTCTTGATGGATGACCTGTGTCCTTCGCTAGCGGTCCCCGCCTCTCCAGCCCACCCTCCTCCCATCCCCTGTCAGTTGCTTGGTCTCAGTCAGAACTTCCATGCGGGTGTATGTGCAAGCGAAGGCAGCGGATATACTAGTTGCGTCGTTTTTTGGGGAGTCTCGAGGTCCCAGAATGTGACCGCCTCTCCCCCAACTCACTCAACCGGGCATGTTGGTCAGATATACATTTTTAACCATAGGGTAATTGAGCCATGCTCCAGATATATATAGTACTGTACATATATTTTTTATACAAATGTATATATCAAGAACATCATTTTGTTATATGACATACAATTTATTTCACCATAGAAAAATTGGGCTATGCACCAAATCTATATGACATTATACCTAACAAAATCATTAGTTGTTATATACCATGCAGTTTATTCTATACAGATATTCTACAATCTTAGTGGCTAAACCCCCTTCTAGTCTGGACGATCGTCCAGACCCATGTTATAGATCAGGTTCCCTAATGAACTGATAGTATTGATATTAATGTTATTTCAGAATTATTTTAATTAGGGGAGGGGCTGTCACATCTATTATTCTAGATTTTCATTTTTAATTGTGGAATAAGTTTTAGTTAGTAATCATCGTGAGTATTTCCCTATCTTCTCTTGGTCTGATTTGTATCTTTTTATCTTTAGATTAAATTCATTCATATTGTTATACTGTCCATTCACTTGTTTTGTTTGGAGTTATTTGTTGGTTTTGTTCATAGGAACGATTTGTAACTTAGTGTTTCATTTAGACCCGGGTACACGGTGGACTTTAATTTAAAAATCCATCGTGCTTCCGACTGTAGCAGTTTTTTGTTTATGTCACCGCCTCTCTTCTTTTCATGAATATGATCCAGAACATAGAATTTCATAGCCGCTAGATCAAAATTGTGATGAAGTCCTATGTGCCGACTTATAGGGGTTGTAAGTTTTCCATTTTTTATAAGGTATACATGATCGTAAATTCTATTCCACAATTTCCTAAAGGTCTTCCCCACGTAGTGCGCTCCGCAGATACAGCTCATCATATAGATAACGTTATTGGTCTGGCAGGTTACCGTATGTTTAAGTGGCCATTGTTTCTCATTATTTGGTAGGGGAATCTTGGTTCCTTCCACGACAAAGCAGCAATATTTGCATTTCCCACACTTTTGGAGACCTAGGTCTCCGCATTTCTCCGTTTTTGATTGGGGTATATATAGGCTGTGTGTCAATCTGTCCCTCATTGATTTCGCTCTTCTGAACACTAGCTCGGGGGTGTTCTTTATGTATTTCTTGATTACGTCATCATTAGTAAGGAGATGCCAGTGTCGGCTCAAGCATTCTCTTATTTTGGCATGCTGTTTTGAGTACTTCGTAACCATTTTAACTGTATCCTTATTTCCCTGTTGTTCTTGTACACCTTCTTTCCTATTTATCCCGTAAAGTATCTGTTCCCGTTTTTGCTTCTGTACCCTAACAAAAGAGCACCATCAATACATCTGAATATCTATCACATTAACTAAACACAATTATATTATATATATATGGATACACGTACCCACACATGTAAGAAAGCTTCACTTTGGTTTTGAGTTTGTTTTTGAGTTTTTGTCTACTTCACTTGCTATACGCGTGGAGATTGTATAAAATCTTGGACGGTCATTTACACCCCTCCAGAAACCCTTACAACTTTCTGTTTTTTTCGATTTATGCAATTAGGGGGAGAGGTGTAAAACTAGGCACACACAGGGGGACTACCCACAATTTAGCTAGTAATGAACTACAATTAAGTAGTGCATAGAGCCACGTTCATGAAACGCGGGTCTATGCACGGATTTTTGGGCACGTTTTATCCGCACTAATATGCTACTATGTGAGCTGGGACTTACCAAGACAATAGTCCTCTACAGTGGAGAATAAATACAAAATAAATAAATCCATATACAGCTCAGATTGTAAGCTAAAATACTGTTTTTTTTTTTTCTTGCTGCTACTGTAGGCTCCCCCCTCTCTGTGGATGCACGGACCCAGCCCCTTACTAATGAGCAATTGGCTACAACAACTCAGGCTGCCTATCTGCGCATGTGCAGTCCACTTTATCTCTCACTCACAGAACGCTGAGCTCATCCGCTGCAACAGAGGGGACTGTGCATGTCTGGGTAGGCAAGCCGAGTTCTCATAGCCGAGAGCTTGTTTGTGAGCAGCCGGCGCTGTGCATCCAACAGTCGCTCCATCCTGCCATGTAGGTGGGACTCGGAATGGGGGAGCCAACGTTGGTAGCAGCAGTAAGAAAAGTAAGAATCATTTTTAAAAATGGGAACAGTATTTAAACTTACATTCTAAATCTGTAATATATATGGATTAAAAAAAAAAAAAACAAAAACAAAAAAAAAACATGCCAGGTGAACTAATTTTTTTTGACAGCATGACAATTAAGAAACAAAGACTAAAATAACTTAAAATACTTTGAGAAGGAACACTCTACCCATATTTATAAGGTGCTCGGTGGCTTAAGAGAATTATGGCCCAACCTTTTTTTGCTATAGTTCTCTTTAGGGTCACAGGGGGAACATATACCAGCCAGGAGGGAGCCCGGCAATACTGTCCAGATCAACCCCAATGACTGACCGCTGCCTCTGCCTTTCTAGAGGCAGAGCCAGCTGTGCCTGCCCCCTTCCACGTCCGCTCTGGGAGTGATGATGACCGTCAGTCACTCCTCTCTCCAGGGAGACGATCGGGAACTGAGCGATCGGCAGTATGTGATCGCTCATTTCCTGATCAGAAGAGCCAATGTGTGACAGTTTCAGTGTCCCCAGTCGGCTCTAATTAGGACGATGAGTGTAATTCATTCTCTCCACAACTCTACAAACTCACAACAATCATCACATATGTGAAAGAACGATCCCAGGCACAGTTCTAAACCACGATACAGCATTACAATTGAATCTATAACCTAACAAAGCTTTTTATGTGGTTTTGCAAACTTGTACATTTTACTATGATACAAAGTCTGACCCTGCTGTGCTTTGTTAAACCAAATAAACTGACAATTGCAACTTGGAACTATAAGAATAGGAACAGATGGCAAACTTCTACAACAGAGAACGCAGAAAAAGGAAGTTCTCCCCATGTTTTTGTTTTTTTATTGCTGTCTGTTCTTCTCCTGACCTACTGACCGCTGCTCCTTCCTATAACTTGTATGGCGATCAGGAAGTGAGGTACAATCTCCTTAATGGGGTCACAGGTAGCAAAACAAACCTGACAGAAATGTTCTCTCTTTCCACTCTATCCAAAACCTTTTAATATAATTTTTCTTTGAAAAATATATAATTATGAATGTTACTTACTCATCTCCAAATAACTGGTGACTGAACTCCGGATTAAAGGCTGTGCTATCATCCTCAATATCGTCAGGAAAACGCACTAAACATGGAAAAATATATGAATGGATACATTTTACTCACAAATTCAGGAAAATTGCAATCCCCGACGCAAGCAACTAAATGTAATATGCAAAGTGCTTGTGAGAGAATACCGATGATAAATAGAACACCTTCACTAACTTATTATTAATATTGTAATATTTATAACCAAACACAGGCCTCAGATATGTAGTTCTAAGAGTTGTGACTTTGCTGGATCCATGTACTGGTCCCCTACCATAGAGGATACTACTACCTGTCTTTATACTAGGCATATAGGGGGGTATCATGCTTGCCATTACTCTCTATATGACAGGGAGCCGGCACACGGGCTGCATTGCTCAGCTTGATGGCATTGGAGCAGTTCCAAGAGATTTTTCTTTTTAAGGTTCCATTCACACTGGAGCGGCTGTACAGAGAAAAAAACAACGCACTTTAATGTGCATTGTTCAAAACCCTGCGGCCTCCTAAATAGTGGAAGCGTGATAATGTGGCGGATTCCGCACATTCGCGTGCTTTATAATAGCCGCAAACGAGCGGCATCCGTGCGGATTAAAAATGTTTGCGTTTTCATCCCGCGCGGTCTTCCTCACGGAAAACCTTGTATGTGAATGGAGCCTTATGGTTGATACAGTGCCTATGCTTTAAGGTGCATGATCTGGTCATCCTGACCCCGGCTTCACCAACTAGAGATTAAATTACCTAGAACAAAGCATGTAGCCAGTGAAATAAATTTAAAAAAACATGAACTCCAGCCAAAATGCTGTACTCTAGATAGAACCGGAAGGGGATAGAGCCTCTGACATCTGCGTCCCTGTGAGGGAGATATCCTCTCGCCTGCTGTCAGGAAGTGATGGAAAGTCTTTCAAACATGATACAGACTAAGGGCTTGTTCACACGATTTTCTGGTCCTGGTCTGGAGACGCGGTGCTATGCATGCAGTGCGTTTTTGATGTGTTCCAGTTAAAAAAAAATAAAAAATTTGGGTTGGAGTGGGGCTGTCAGTATGTAAGCTGCAGTGCATTTTTGATGCGTTCGTGCATTTCCGGACCGGACAAAATGTGATATGCAGTATTTTTTCTGTCCGGAACGGACTGCGCTCGTGAGAACTGTAGCCCATAAAACACATAGGGATACATTGGGACGCATGAGCGCACGGATCTGGTCCGGACAGAATTCGGACGTCGTGTGAACAAGCCCTTAAAAACACAATTGTAGTTTAGTGAGGAAGGGTCAGAGCTCCTGACAATACTTCCATTGCTTTCCAGACCTTCCTGTTTCAGGGACATCCACATCCCCCTTTTATTGTATCACAGGGAAAAGAAGAAAGGGATAATCTCCCCAATGGGCTCACAGAGATAAAAACCTGGCAGGAGTGTTAGATCCGGGGTGGGCAATCTTGGCACACCAGCTGTTGTGGAACTACCCACAGTCCCATGAGGCATTGCAAAGAGTCACAGGCATGACTCCCAGAGGTAGAGCATGGCGGTAATTCTATTTTCCAAAATTCGCCTGGGAAAGTGGAATTACCCTTTAAATGGTAACCTTTTATACCATGTTTCACCCTTATTCAGGGTGTAACATGAAAATCAGTGACATCAATTTTATGGCATTTATTTATTGAAAAGGTGGAATTTCCCTTTAAATAACCATATATCTTATACCACCTACACTGACCATAACAGTTTTCCTCTGCAAGTCTGTAACCTTTACACATGTATCCATGTTTAACTTAAATGCATGAACATGACTGAACAATAAATATCAGCATCCAATGTACACACCTAACTTTAATTTAATGGCTTCATTTGTGTTACACTTGTACTCGGCAAGCTTCTTCTCCATAGCACTGAGGCCTAAAGAAAAAGAGATGAAAGAGATCACCGATAAGAAGGGGGTAAAAAACTGAATGAGTAAAATGTATAACATCAGCATGACGTGATTCTTATCACCAGCAGAATGAATGCAGTCACTGCCATCCCAGTGATATACAAGTATATAGGTGGTCAGAGAGAACACGGATGTCTGTGGGAAAGGAAGTTGTTGGTACACGGATACTTTGGTTGTAAACATGCAATAATACATGTATTCTTTGCACACCCTATTTCTCTTTTCTTCCCCAGTCTTCTGACAGTGGCCATTTTAACTAAGGGCAAAATAATAGAACTCCCTATACTTCCTGGAACTCTGGCACCATGCACATCATCTCAGGGGAGGAAAATGCCTTTCCCTGAGATCTCATGAGATTACAGATGAGATTTCCCAGCAATGCTCTGCTGATGTCATCTTCTCAGGATGCAACGCTTGGGGACATTACATTATTTGTGCTAGAAGTGGATCAGGAAGTGAAAAAACAATACTTATACGTAAAAGCAAAAAAAAAATTCATAACGGTATGCAGAGCTGAACACTGATGTGATTTTTGTAGTGAAAGGGGGTAAAGAGTCCGCTTTAAAATAAAGCTCTAGGAAAAAATGTTTTCCTAAAATCTGCTGTGTAAACAAAATCCCAAAAAGTTAACCCCCATTAGGTGTCTAACATTTTTTATGATTTTTTTGTTTCTTTTGGCTTCTTTCTAGCCGAGACCCTTGAAGGGTATAATGCTTTTAATATGAGCAGATTATATGGTGGTCTCTTAACAATAATGTCTGTATGTTTATACTGTGTAAATATTAGGGATGCAGCGATACTTGTATCGGTGCCGATGCCAAATATTTCTGCGAGTACTCGCCCAAATGCTCCGATGCCTAGCCCGATACTTGAGCTTCTGGTATCAGGAAGCCGGGCAGCGAGTCATTACACGCTGCCTGGCTTCCTGATTGGCCAGGAAGCCGGCTCCATCCTCCCTCGTTATGATTGGCCGGGAAGCCAACTCCATGCTCCCTCGTCATGATTGGCCGGGAAGCCAGCTCCATGCTCCCTCGTCATGATTGGCTGTCATGAGGGAGCATGGAGCCTGTGTCATGGCTGATCAGGAAGCCAGGCGTCGCGTCATTACACGTTGCCCGGCTTCCCGATTAGCCAGAAAGCCGGCTCCATGCTTTCTCGTCACCTAGTGACGAGAAGCATGGAGATGGCTTCCCTGCTAATCAGGAAGCCAGGTGGCTAGTCATTGCACGCCGCCTGGCTTCCTTAATAAGACTTCCGATATCGGTGAGTACAGAAAAAAAAAATATCGGTACTCGATACAGAAAAAGCGGTATCGGTGCATCCCTAGTATATATTGGAAAATAATAAAGAGATATTCTACACAAAAAAAAAAAAAAAAATTATGATTGCTTTCCTATTTTTACAATTTCCTTTAGTAAAGCTTTCACAGAAGGCCTTGTATCATGTGAGCGGGTCATAGAATACAAGGAGTTCTGTGGATGGGCACGGGGGAGAGGAGGATTAATGATGGCTCCTGTGTATGAGGGTCGCAGTGCTGGATGTATAGTGTGAGCTGTACTATCCGCCATCAATGAAAATGTAAATAAAGGGAACCGTCCTGAAAGGGGCACAGACCTCATGGGAGGTTTTGGGGTTTAAAAAAAAAAAGGCTTATTTGGAGCAGACGGGGAGCTTGCCTTGTTCTGTGGTGTATGGTCAGACATCATGAAGGAGACAGAGGGAGGTACGAGGTGTCTCCTGGCACTCGGACACATTGTGGCGGGGGACAAGTTTAGCAGTTTTGCAACATTTTATCACACTGACAAGATTTGCATAATTTCTATCCAGAAAGGAGAACGCAGACATGTTCCAGCTGCCAATGTCAACACGTTCAGCTGGCTGGGTATGCTGAAACTTGTAGTTACACACAGAGAAGACTGGAAATGAGCAAGGTGCACAGGCTCAGCTGGCTGGGTATGCTGAGATTTGTAGTACCACAGCTTTTGATTTGTGCAGTCTCTTTCTCTGGCTGGGCATGCTGAGCCTTCTAGTGCCACAGGAGTCAGAGCTGGGGGTTGATAGGACACACAGACTCTCCTTGGTTGGCTGGGAATGCTGAGTTCTATAGTACCACATTAGGTAGAGCTGGGGGTTGACAAAACACACCAACTTCCCTTAGCTGGGAGGACAAGCTGAGACTTTTAGTACTAAGCAGGTTCTTTTCAGCTGGCAGGACACCCTGAGCCCTTTAGTGCCACATTGGTGGTTGGCATGTTACAGATATTCTCCTCAGCTGCCAGGCCATGCTGGGCCTTGTAGTACATTAGGTAGTGTACACAGACCCTCCTCAGCTTACAGGCCATGTTGTGCCTTGTAGTACAACATTAGGTAGTGTACACAGACTCTCCTCAGCTTGCAGGCCCTGTTGTGCCTTGTAGTACAACATTAGGTAGTGTACACAGACTCTCCTCAGCTTGCAGGCCATGTTGTGCCTTGTAGTACAACATTAGGTAGGGTACACAGACTCTCCTGACATTGTGCTGAGCTGAGGGTTGCCACAGGACACAGACTCTCCTCAGCTGGCAGGACATGCTGTGTGGATTTGGCGGGAGAATGTGCCGGCGGTGGGGGCTGTGCAGGGTGTCATTGTAACACACAGCCCCCCTCGGACATACCCCGTGATCCCCCCCTCTCCAGTATGAGCCCCTGAGGGGTAACCGGCTCCTGTGTCACCCGCTGACCACCCCGCACATCACCCACTGCAACTTACCCGCCATGTCCGCTCATCCACCGCACTGTCAGCCACAGCCAATCAGGCCGCCGCACCGCCTGCAGCCGCCATCATCGCCTGACGTGTTTCCGCTTCCATCGCAGCCTATTCATAGCACTGATTGCTGGCGGAATGACCATACTGACCCCACACACAGCACCGACTGACACCGTAATCGTACTCACACCACACACAGCACCGACTGGCAGCGTGATCGTACTCACACCACACACAGCACCGACTGACAGCGTGACCGTACTGACACCACACACAGCACCGACTGACAGCGTGATCGTACTCACAGCACCGACTGGCAGCGTGACCGTAAGCACAGCACCGACTGACAGTTCGATAGTACTGACACCACACACACAGCACCGATTGGCAGCGTGACCGTACTGACACCACACACAGCACCGACTGAGAGTGTGACCCTACTGACACCACACACACAGCACCGACTGACAGCGTGACCGTACTCACACCACACATACAGCTCTGACTGACAGTGTGACCCTACTGACACAACACCGACTGACAGTGTGATCGTAATGACACCACACACACAGCACCGACTGACCGTGTGATCGTAATGACACCACACACACGGCACCGACTGACAGTGTGATAGTACTGATTGTCCCCTCCGCCTCTTCCCTCCTCATATGTCCCTCTTCTTTCCTCATATGTCCCTCTTCCCTCCTCATATGTCCCTCTTCTTTCCTCATATGTCCCTCTTCTTTCCTCATATGTCCCTCTTCCCTCCACATATGTCCCTCTTCCCTCCTCGTATGTCCCTCTTCCCTCCGCATATGTCCCTCTTCCCTCCTCGTATGTCCCTCTTCCCTCCACATATGTCCCTCTTCCCTCCACATATGTCCATCTTCCTTCCTCATATGTCCCTCTTCCCCCCACATATGTCCCTCTTCCCTCCTCATATGTCCCTCTTCCCTCCACATATGTCCCTCTTCCCTCCACATATGTCCCTCTTCCCTCCTCATATGTCCCTCTTCCCTCCACATATGTCCCTCTTCCCTCCACATATGTCCCTCTTCCTTCCTCATATGTCCCTCTTCCTTCCTCATATGTCCCTCTTCTCTCCTCATATGTCCCTCTTCCCTCCTCATATGTCCCTCTTCCCTCCTCGTATGTCCCTCTTCCCTCCTCGTATGTCCCTCTTCCCTCCTCGTATCTCCCTCTTCCCTCCTTGTATCTCCCTCTTCCCTCCTCATATGTTCCTCTTCCCTTGTGGTTTTTGTTCTGTTCTATAGCTATGGACCTCAATAAAAATGTATTATTGGAAGCAGAGTATGTCCGCTCTAATTCATCCCAAAGGTGTTCTATAGGGGTGAGGTCAGGACTCTGTGCAGGCCAGTCAAGTTCGTCCACCCCAAACTCGCTCATCCATGTCTTTATGGACCTTGCTTTGTGCACTGGTGCGCAGTCATGTTGGAACAGGAAGGGGCCATCCCCAAACTGTTCCCACAAAGTTGGGAGCATGAAATTGTCCAAAATGTCTTGGTATGATGATGCCTTAAGAGTTCCCTTCACTGGAACTAAGGGGCCAGGCCCAACCCCTGAAAAACAACCCCACACCATAATCCCCCCTCCACCAAACTTTACATTTGGCACAATGCAGTCAGGCAAGTACCGTTCTCCTGGTAACCGCCAAACCCAGACACGTCCATCGGATTGCCAGACAGAGAAGCGTGATTCGTCACTCCAGAGAACACGTCACCACTTCTCTACATCCAGTGGCGGCGTGCTTTACACCACGGCATCCCACGCTTTGCATTGCACTTGGTGATGTAAGGCTTGGATGCAGCTGCTTGGCCGTGGAAACCCATTCCATGAAGCTCTCTACCCACGGTTGTTGTGCCAATCTGAAGGCCTCATGAAGTTTGGAGGTCTGTAGCTATTGACTTTACAGACAGTTGGCGATTTCTGCCCACTGTGCGCTTCAGCATGCGCTGACCTCGTTCTGTCATTTTACATGGCCTACCACTTCCTGGCTGAGTTGCTGTTCCCAGTTGCTTCCACTTTGCTATAATCCCACTAACAGGTGACAGTGGAATATTTAGTATTAAGGAAATTTCACGGAACAGCTGAATCCAATGATTTGGAAGGGTGTCCCAATACTTTTGGCAATATAGTGTATGTATATCATGGCATTACAGGTTAAACAATGGCACACAATGTCTAAGATTCCAAGCTCGGATATTAAAGTGATGAACAAGATTCTATGGTCTGATGAAACCAAGATTGAACTGTTTGACCTCAATTCTAAACCCTTTGGAGGAAACCAGGCACCGCTCATCACCTGCCCAATACCATCTGAAGCATGGTGGTGGCAGCATCATGGTGTGGGGGTGTTTTTCAGCAGTAGGGGCTGGGAGACTGGTCAGGGTTGAGGGAAAGCAAAGTACAGCGATAGCATAAATGAAAACCTGTTCCACAGCACTCAGGACCTCAGACTGACCTGAGGGTTCACCTTCCAACATGACAATGATCCTAAGCACAGGAGTGGCCTAGGGACAACACTGAATGTCCTGGAGTGGCCCAGCCAGAGCCCTGACTTGAACCCCATTCAACATATCTGTAGAGACCTGAAAATGGCTGTCCACCGACCCATCCAGCCTGACTGAGCTTGAGGGGATTTGCAAAAAGGAATGGCAGAAAATCACCCAATCCAGGTGCGACAAGCTTGTCTCGTCATACCCAAAAAGACCCGAGGCTGTAATTGCTGCCAAAGGTGCTTCAACAAAGACTGAATAAAACGTCTGAATACTTAAGTATATGTGATAGTTCAGTTTTTTCTTTTTTATAAATTCACAGACATTTCTAAAATTCTGTTTTTACTTTGTCAGTATGGGGTACTGACTGTGGATTAATGAGACAAAAAAGAACAAACAACTGTAGTATCAGGCTGCAACATAACATAACTTTCTGAATGCACCATACATACAAGGGCCAACTTGAGGTGGCCATATACTCTACAACCCTCGCAAAACATTTGTCTTGCGAGGGTTGTGAAGTACTTAAAAAAACGTACGATCTGCCCATCTTGGACAGGCAGATCGTACTTGCGATCATCGCAAGCCTGCCCCCGTGAGGGGCGGGCTTCTGATGACTGCAATGCTGAACGGGCAGTGTGCGCGTGCACACACCGGCCCGTTCGGCAGTGATCTCTCGATCATGTTAAAAACCAGCCGAAATTCATACGATTCTCGGCTGGTTTTTCAACATGCTCGAAATACAAAAGACGTGCGACCGTACATTAGAAACGGTCACACGCCTTCCATACACTGCACGATTCTCGTACGATCGCGGGATTTACCGTGATTCTCGTACGAGAATCGTGCAGTGTATGGGCACCTTTAGACAGGAGCCAATTAACCTTCCAGGATGTCTTTGGAGTGTAGAAGGAAACTAGAGTATCGGAAGGAAACCCACACAAGCACTAGGAGAACATGTAAACTCCATGCAGATAGTGTCCTGGCTGGGATTCACAGGGAAGACCCCAGTGCTGCAAGGCAGAACTGTTAACCACTAAGCCACTGTGTCTTTTCTGTACACAATCTGTATAATAAATTAACCACTGAAAATATCTGTGCATGTTAAAAAAAAGTGCCCGTTAGTTCTGTGACAGTTCAGAGGTTGAACTTTATAGCTAAATAGGTGCTTGCAGTCGCAGCACAACAGAAAAGATGTGCGTACAAGCAAATGGTTGCTTTGATCTCAAAACAGATCGAAAGCTTATTGCTAACATTTCTGCACGCAAATTGCTGTATTTCAGAAACTAAGCACTATGTACACTATATACTTTTTCATAGTCAGCAAGAGAGTCAATATAAAACAGTTTGTTTTCTAAATAGTTTTTTTTCCCTTTATAATCTCCCGTTACGATAACCATTACTTGCAAAAGACAGTAACAGACATGGGTATTATAAAATGGGTTTTATGAAGTGTTTCATATTTTATTCTCAATGTGGATGGGAGTTCCTATAGTGTCTTGAAGGTGAAACCTACAGAAACCTCAAGAGTTGATTCTGCTCGGAGCAGGGGTTCTTCATACTTCATGAGTTGAGCACAATCCACTTGTTCGGTAAGGTTCCTATGATTAATGTAACTAACCTGATTGAAATAATATAGATTTGCGAGATTGGCTAAGACACATGTGGGCATCAGCACAAATTACTGAGATAGCTTTGAGTGACTAGTCTCTTTCAAGGACATGCTTTTCAAGCCTGCCAAGTAGATTGCATCTGCTGTAGTCATTAAGAGGAGCATACAATCAGTACTGCGGTGTCATACGCCTTTATTTTGAAAATGTTTCAGCAGAATTTCAAGTGAAATAAAAAATGCACTAGGGGGTTACCATCATTTTTATGTCCTATGGTTATCCTATGTATGTAATATACAATAAATATATATATATATATATATATTTATATTCCAAACATAGCAAGGTCAAAGCAAGGAAATTGACTTAAAATTAACTGAAATTTAAAATAGGTTTTCAACGATCAAGCGCTTTTCTTCTTACATGGACCCTCTCTGGTTCTTGGGTTTCCTCCCATAATGCCAAGCATATGTAAAGACAAAACTTTTTTTTTGTTTAGTTTTTGATTAAGCAGGGAATGTTAAAAGCCCCTTTCAGGTTTTATTTTGCCATCTGTGTCCTATCCGGGAGGTTTCCCTTCACTCCCTGTCCTGTAGACACAATTGGAGGAGAGAAGAAATTCCACAGTGAGGGATATCATCTCTTAGGCAGTTGTCACTGTCCCCATTGGAGGATTTCCACTCTACTCCTTTTCTAATTACCACTTGAAATTTCAAATATTTTTTTAAAGTACAACTATGACCTTCCTTTAAAAATATCTCCTGCAGATGAATTATATTTGCATTTGCACTTTCAGTTTTCCCTTAGTCCCTCTGCAAATTCCCACAAATACCTGTTGATCCTGCCAGTGGAGCCCACATAATGCAGCTTTTCGTGGCAACAATGCGGAACAGCTCTTGAATTCAAAGCATGGTTGCCACTTTCATGTAGGCTGTGCCTGCTTACACTACATTGGGATGAGAAAATGTTGCAGGGTGAATGGC